GACCCGAAGTGGGAGTACCGGAAGGGCATCGAGGGCATGTCGCTCGGCTCCTTGCAGTACGAGATGATGACCACCACCAAGGATTCCAAGGAGTTCAAGAGGCTCGAGTCGGAGTTCGAGAAGGGCTGGGGGTTCCAGGGGGGCGGACAAGCACGCAGCCTCAGAGAGCAGTCAAGAACCTCCCCAGGGCGATCGTTCGCACAGGAGTTCTCTTGGCATCGCTCGGACGTGTGCATTTTTTCTCGGCGAGAACCATCGAGGAGCATCCTGAACCATTGAGCAAAAAAAACACGCACGAAACCGAAAAATGAACGGGAAATGGACGTCCGAGCGACGGCGAGTTCTAGTAAACAGTTCTTGTGGGGGCAGCGGGACTACATCAGCAGCACCGACGACATGCTGAAAATATCATTTCCCGCATGCGGGCTCGGGGGGACGAATTGTCGAAGACGCCGCCGCCGCCCCACGTTTTTCGGAAACGCCTCTGTGGCCAAACTTGGGGCCGAAATACCGCCAAACTATTGGGCTACGTGTTCCTCCAGCTGTTGTGGAGCCCCTTGAGGGGACATTTGGGAGAAGAAAGGAAAGGAGGATGACAGGGAGGAGAAGGATTTCGAGAGGGAGGAGGAGGAAAAGAAGAGAACGAGGAGGAGGAGCAGGAGGAGGAGCAGGAGGAGCAGGAGGAGCAGGAGGACGAGGAAAAGGAGGCATCTTGTGGCCGTCTCGTGGTTTCCTGGGGATTTCCTGGAAGCCGCGCTTCAGGGCCGCCTTGAAGGTATGCGGGGCCGTTTTGGCAGCCTCTTGAGGCGACCTCGGCGGACTATGGGGCCGTCCCGGAGCGTCAGAAGCCCGAAAGGGCGAGAGCGTTAAAATCATTGAACATCCTCAGGAGCATAAGCGAGTTTGGCCTCCTGGAGATCCTCTTCGAGCCCTCTTGGGGCGTCTTGGGGGCCTCTTGGGCCGTTTGGAGGGCATCTTAGGCCGTCTTGGGGCAGTCTTGAAGGCGTCTTGGGACCTTCTCGGATGCCATCTTGGGCCTGTTTGGCAGTCTTGAAGGCCATCTTTGCCGTCTTGTGAGATTTGTTGTGGACTTTCTGGTCTTTCCGCGCGGCCAGCGGGCTGCGCCAGAGGCCATTGAGAACCATTCAAAGATTGAGCACTCCAGGCACCCCTTCGATGAATCGAAGACGCCTACGGCGAGTCACCGCCTCCCCCTTCCTTATGGGAAGCGCCAATGTGGCCGAAAGTTGTGGCCAGAACTCGGCCAAGCTATCGGACTATGTGTTCCCCCAGCCGTTGTACAAACCCTTCGGGGAACACATGGGGGAAGAAGAGGACAACAGAGAGGAACAAGTGGCACGCGTGCCCTGGCTCTTGCACAAAGGTGTCCGAGGCTCAGGGGGGCTGCCCTGGGAAGCCTGGGCGGGGGGGGGCAGAGGGGGGGGGGCAGGGGGACGAACGACACGACACGACACGACACGAAAATAAAAGTGGCCCAGGGGGGCTACCCTGGGAAGCGTGGACAGGGGGGGGTGGGGGGACGAACGACACGACGAACGACGAAAATAAAGGGTTCCGTGGCCAGGGGGGCTACCCTGGCCAGGGGGCGAGGGGGTACGAACGACACGACGAACGACGAAAATTCCGTGGCCCAGGGGGGCTACCCTGGGAAGCGTGGACAGGGGGGGGGCGAGGGGGACGAACGACACGACGAACGACGAAAATAAAGGTTCCGTGGCCCAGGGGGGCTACCCTGGGAAGCGGGACAGGGGGGGGGGGCGAGGGGGACGAACGACACGACGAACGACGAAAATAAAGGGTTCCGTGGCCCAGGGGGGCTACCCTGGGAAGCGTGGACAGGGGGGGGGGCGAGGGGTACCCTGGGAAGCGTGGACAGGGGGGGGGGCGAGGGGGACGGGGGGGGGGCGAGGGGACGAACGACACGACGAACGACGAAAATAAAGGGTTCCGTGGCCCAGGGGGGCTACCCTGGGAAGCGTGGACAGGGGGGGGGCGAGGGGGACGAACGACACGACGAACGACGAAAATAAAGGGTTCCGTGGCCCAGGGGGGCTACCCTGGGAAGCGTGGACAGGGGGGGGGCGAGGGGGACGAACGACACGACGAACGACGAAAATAAAGATGTCCGAGCTCTAGAGCACAGCTGTGCAAGAGAGTAAAGAGGTCCGAACTCTAGAGCGCAGCTGTGCAAGAGAATAAAGTGGTCGGGGCGAAGGGGGCGGCGCGCTGGGCTGCTGGGGAGAGGGGGATGGGGGGGGGGGGGGCGACGACGACGCCGAAATAAAGTGGTTGGGGCGGAGAGGGCGGCGCTGGCTGCTGGGGAAAAGGACAGGGGGGGGGTGGCGACGACGACGCCGAAATAAAGTGGTCGGGGCGGAGGGGGCAGCGCGCTGGGCTGCTGAGGAAAGGGAGAGGGGGGGGGGGGGGGGCGACGACGACGCCGAAATAAAGTGGTTGGGACGGAGGGGGCGGTGCGCTGGGGTGCTGGGGAGCGACACATAGCGACACATGTCGACACAACGCCGAAATAGGGCGACGACGACGCCGAAATAAAGTGGTCGGGGCGGAGAGGGCGGTGCGCTGGGCTGCTGGGGAAAGCGACACATGTCGACACAACGCCGAAATAGGGCGACGACGACGCCGAAATAAAGTGGTCGGGGCGGAGAGGGCGGCGCGCTGGGCTGCTGGGGAAAAGGACCGGGGGGGGGCGACGACGACGCCGAAATAAAGTGGTCGGGGCGGAGGGGGCAGCGCGCTGGGCTGCTGAGGAGAGGGAGAGGGGGGGGGGGGCGACGACGACGCCGAAATAAAGTCGTCGGGGCGGAGGGGGCGGTGCGCTGGGGTGCTGGGGAGCGACACATAGCGACACATGTCGACACAACGCCGAAATAAAGTGGTCGGGGCGGAGGGGGCAGCGCGCTGGGCTGCTGAGGAGAGGGAGAGGGGGGGGGGCGACGACGACGCCGAAATAAAGTCGTCGGGGCGGAGGGGGCGGTGCGCTGGGGTGCTGGGGAGCGACACATAGCGACACATGTCGACACAACGCCGAAATAAAGTGGTCGGGGCGGAGGGGGCAGCGCGCTGGGCTGCTGAGGAGAGGGAGAGGGGGGGGGGGCGACGACGACGCCGAAATAAAGTCGTCGGGGCGGAGGGGGCGGTGCGCTGGGGTGCTGGGGAGCGACACATAGCGACACATGTCGACACAACGCCGAAATAAAGTGGTCGGGGCGGAGGGGGCAGCGCGCTGGGCTGCTGAGGAGAGGGAGGGGGGGGGGGCGACGACGACGCCGAAATAAAGTCGTCGGGGCGGAGGGGGCGGTGCGCTGGGGTGCTGGGGAGCGACATAGCGACACATGTCGACACATATCGACATATAGAGACATATATCGACACACACATATCGACGCATAGCGACACACAGCGACACATAGCGACGCACACATGGAGACGCATAGCGACACACAGCGACACATATAGCGGCACATGAAGGGCACAAGGCACACAGCGACACATATAGCGACACATGAAGGGCACAAGGCAGCTGGGGGGGAGCGACGACGACGCCGAAATAAAGTGGTCGGAGCTCTAGACACCCTGTGCAAGAGAATTATCTTGGCGACGTACCCAACCCCTGCGCAATGCGGGGCATGAATAGCTTTGGAGACGTTCTACGGAGGTGATGACGTGACATGGGCGCATATAATTCTGCGAGCGGCATTCGTGAGGTTCGCAGCCCCCCAGGGACTGCAAGGTCCCGCTCAGGTCTGCGTGGTGCCTCACTCCGCTTGACCCACCAGCAGCCCTGGGAAGTGGCGACAGTCTCGCAGATCACAGCCCCCTGGGGACGCCGAGCTACCGCTCAGGTCTGCGCGGTGCCTCACTCCGCTGGACCCACCAGCAGCCTTCGAAAGTGGCGACAGTCTCGCAGATCGCAGCCCCCCAGGGACGGCGAGCTAACGCTCGGGTCTGCGCGGTGCTTCACTCCGCTGGACCCACCAGCAGCCTTCGAAAGTGGCGACAGTTTCGCAGATCGCAGCCCCCCCCCCCGGGGACGGCGAGGTCTCGCGGGAGACAGAAGGCGGGAGGCGGGAGGAGGAAGACTCGACCGCGGTGCTCTATTCAAAACGAATACCCAACCAAGGAGGGTTGGGAAAAAGGAGAAGGAGGTCTCTTGAGGCATGCTCGGGGTCTTCTGGGACAGCTTCCCGAGGGCCTCACTGAGGCCTCTTGGGGGCCTCCCTGGGCCCCTTGGGCGCACTTGCTGGCTTCTTGGCGGCCTTTTTGGCAGTCTTGGGGCGCTCCTGGCCCACCTGACGGCGCCGGGGGCTGCCTTGGAGGCCCCTCGTGGCAGTCTTGGGCCTTTCCGCTTGGGGCGCTCCAGGGGCCGTCCTGGGCGTTTCTCTTGGGGCGCTTCGTGGCCGTGGTGGGTCCCGCTTGGAGGCACCTTCTGCGATCTCGGGGGCCTCTTGGGCCGTCTTTGGTCGTCGGAAGACCGAACAAAAAGCACACGCCAAGCTCATTGGGAAGCCTTCGGATCATCAGTGACTCTTGCCCCTCGGGGCCTTCCTGGAGGACCTCTTGGAGGCCTGCTGGAGGCGTATTGGGCCGTAGTGGGCCACTGTGCGGCCATCTCCTGCCGTCCTGGGTGCATCTGGGGCTGTCTTGGAGACATGTTGCGGCCATCGTGTATCCTCCTGGGGCCATCTTGACCGTCTCGGAGGCCATCCTGGCCGTCTCCGAGGCAGCGTTGGGCCGTCATGGGGCCACCTTGAGCGGACAACGGCCCTGCCGACCAGCTTTTTCCGCTCGGCCGGCGCGAGCGGCCGAGGCCCCGCTGGGAGTTGTCAAAAGGGACCACGCGGCGGACACGGTCGGGGGGCCTTCGGCCCACACGCGGTTGAGGTGGTGATCCACCACCGCGCACTTCATTGATGAGCTTGTGACCTCCCGGAGAACCTTGGGAAAAAAGGTGGCCGTCGGCCCACCTCGCCACCGCGCCGCTTGGGCGGTAGGTCAGGGGCTCTCGGAGGCCTCTCGGAAGCCTCGTAGAGGCCGCTCCGGGGTGTCTCGGGGCCCCTCGGGGGCCGTTTGAGGGCCTCCACGGGCTGCTTGGGAGCCTCTTGGGGACCTGCTGGCAGTCTCGGGAGTCACCTTGGAGCAGAGGGCTCGAAGTATCACTTCGAGTTCCCCCCTCTCAGACCCCTCTTAGAGGCCGTCTTGACGGCCTCTTGGGCCGTCTTGGGGCGACCTTGGAGGCCCATGGGGCCGTCTTGGAGCGTCGGAAGCCCAAAAAGGCGAGGACACTAGAAATTGTAAATTTCTTTCGGGTCATCTGATATTTTTCCCTTGGAGCCCACTTGGGGCATCTTTGGGGCCTGTCGGGCCGTCTTGAGGCCACTTTGGCCGTCTTGGGGAGCTCTTGGGCCATCTTGGGGCCCTCCTGGACAGTGCCTCGGGGCTCGGTGGCGAACAGGCACAAGTAGATCGAGAAGCAGAAGTGCATTGACATCACACCACTGTATTCAAGGTGAGAGAGTGAAACCATGCATCGGACGTTTGCAGACGGCAGAGCTCCGCCAGCATCAGAGCCCCGTCCCTGATCGCAGGGAGCGCGGCGCCGAAGACGTCGCCCGTGGGCTCCGAGCAGGGGCGCCAACAGTGGGGAGCAGCCTGGGGTCTGGGGGGCATCGACCCCCAAGGCTCAACCCTTGGCCATCGCCCACCGGGCACGGGCTCCCCACTCCTCCCAGGCACCGAGGGCATGTCGCCGGTCTGTCGGCGAGGCACCGCCGATTCCACACACACACATTGTTCATTTCTTATTCTTCGAGAGTTCTTTGATTTTTTGGGGGGCCAAGATCCTTTCATTTCTAATTGTTCTATCCTGGGCCTCTTCCTGACCACTAGGGGGCCAGGAACAATTCGACACGAGCGCAATTAGAAATGAGCACGATTAGAAATGAGCGACCGACATCGGCCTGCCAGCTGGGGCCCCAGGAGGAATCCGATGCCCCCGATGCACCCCGAGATCCCGGGGGTGGGGCACCCCGCGGAGCTCGAGGTCGGCGATGGAAGTGCCCCGACGCCTCTTGCGGCAAAAGGTCTCTCCTCGTGCGGCGGTCGTGAGCTTTAGGCGGCTGGTCGGCTCTGTACGCCTGCTTGGCATCGCTCGGACGTGTGCATTTTCCCTTCGGCGAGGACCATCGAGGAGCATCCTCGATCATTTGGCGAAAAAGCCACGCACGGAACCGAAAAAAAACACAGGAAATGGACGTCCGAGCGATGGCCAGCTTGCGCTCACGGGTGTGCGATGGCGAGCTGTTTCACGAATCGGCCCGCAATGCTGCCTTATGAAATCACAAAGGTCTCATCCTTGTGCCTACGGTAGCTTCGCGTCGTGTCGACCTGCGCCGACCCCGCCGACGGCGTTCAACGTTGAACGAATGGTGCATCCGACGCCGCGTGCGATCCAGAATCGGTCGATGTTGAACGATCGGACGTTTCGGAAACAGCCGATCGTTCAAGGTTGAACGTTCCCTGGGGTCGCACGACACGAACCCGCGGTTAAGGCATACGGTCGGGAACTTTTGGATAGCGTGTCGCCGCGCTGGTTCTGGCCCACCACGCTTCGACGCGACGCGTGATCCACGCTCCAGTCCCCGAGCGTCAACCTCCCGAGCTTCCCCGAGCCGCCCCGCGGAGCGGAGCGACACGCTGCCCGCTCGCGGAGCATAGCGTCTCGCCAGGCCCGCCGCGGCGACAGGCTACGCAGCAGCTCCCGACCGCGATGCCCCCGCTGCTGCGGGCAGGCGCCCACGGGCGTAACCCCCGGGCGCCCAGTGGCGGCAGGCGCCCCGGGCACGCGGTGCGCCGACGAGCGGAGCGGCCTCTGCCGCGGGGGCCGCGGGGAGGCGGGCGTCCCGGCCAGCGCCCTGAGGCCACGGTGGGGGGCGCTGGTCGAGGCCGATCCTTCGGAGAGTCGGGGGCGGGGGGGGGGGCCCTTCGCAGATCTGTCGGCGAGGCATCGCCGATTCCAGCTCGACGCATCCCCCTCGGAGCCAGCCCTGCCTAACGCAGGCCCTCGGAGGCGTTCGCGCGACCTTCCTTGGAGTCCCTCCGGGCGTCGCCGACCCTGGGAGGGGACGACGAGGACGACGAGAGCGAGGACGAGGAGGAGGGAGAGTGAGGGGCAGCGGGGGAAGGGGAAGGAAGACCAGTAGGAGGAGGAGGAGGAAGGAGGAGGAGGAGGAGGAGGAGGAGGAGGAAGACGAGGAGGAGGAGGAAGACGAGGAGGAGGAGGAGGACGAGGAGGAGGAGGAGGAGGACGACGAGGAGGAGGAGGACGAGGAGGAGGAGGACGCGGAGGAGGACGCCTTTCGCGCCTTGCCGCCCCAGCCCAGACGCCTTTCCCGCGCCGCAGCTGTGGCTCGTGCTTTGGGTTTTTATTCGGGACTGGAACCGCCAGGGGGGGTGGCATTCTGACTCAGGAGTGACCCCAGGTCCCCCCTGGGACCACCCCCGAGACCCCCTTGGAAGACCCCCCCCCCTGCGGCGGGGAAGGGATCAAAGAGAAGGGGCTTCCTTTCGGTTCGAGTCTGACGTTGCTGTTTCATTTCGCTTTGGCTGGCGCGCTTTAGGGAGCCTAGGGGAAGCAGGGAACGGCAACGGCGACGATCACGAACGGAAGAGCGTCTTCCACACGCCGACAGGGTCGGCGGATCTCCCAACAGCGCGATGTCTTGTGGATCCGCGGCCCCGCGCGCAGCTCCCAGCTCCTCCCCTTGGGGGGCGCTTTTCGTCCAGAGTTGCTTTGGGCCCCGGGAGCCCGAAACTTTGAGGCCGTCCCCAGGGGCGCGAAGGTCACCACGCTTCCCGCGTCGCCCCCGTAGGCCAGCGGGCTGCCCCGGCGCGAAGATCACGGCGCGTCGCGCGCTGCGGGGCGCGAGGCGCGACGTCGGGCGGCCTGGAGACCGAGGACACAACGCCTGGCACCGCTCGGACGTGTGCATGTTCTGCCTCGGCGAGGACCATCGAGGAGCCTCCTGGATCCGAGACAGACACGGGTAGTTACTTGCACCCGTCGCGTGCCTGCGTCGGGCTGCTTCCTCCGGCATCCGGAGGCCCCGCCCCGCCCGCCTGTGCCCTGTCTCCCCAATTAGAGCTGTGCGCAGCCCGCCCAGCCTTCAGCGGAAGGGGTTCGCTCTCGCCCCGCCGACCAAAAAAGCTTGCGTCGGGCTCCGAGTCCGCCGGCGGAGCAGCGACCCTCGTGACCGTGCGGCGACCCTGCGCTGCCGGGGGCAGCGCCACCGCTGGGCCAAGCCCCCACCCGCGTGCCCAGGCCTCGCCCCTGGGCCCCCACGCCGCCGCGGGCCCCCCTCTGGCTGCTGAGCCCCCCCCCCCCTCCAAAAAAAAGCGCACGAAGCCGAAGCATACACGGGTAATACACGGGGGCCGGACGTCCGAGCGATGGCAGGAGTGCGGGGCAGAGCAGAGCGACCTTTCGGATGTCCAGGGGCCAGCGTCGAGGCTCACCACCAGGGCCCCACGAAAACGGGGACCCTGAGGAACCAGAGCACTCGTACGCGCCCGAGGAAGCTGCCGCCGTGTGTCGCAGCATGCGCCACTCCTCGTTCCCTCCGGGCGGAGATCTCAAAGTCCTGGTTGCACCCCCCTATGAGACAACGGCAGCTCAGAACCGGCCCCCACCACCACATGGGAGTGCGACCTTGGCGACACCGAGCTCGGCCCGCGCGAAGTGAGCGTGACACCTGCGCTCTGGCCACGCGCACGTCTCGGAAGGCTGCTCCGACCTCAGCGCGGGCCGCGCCAAAGACTTGGAGTGGTGCTCGCTCCTCGGCGCTGGCCACATCCTTGATTACGACCGCTGTTCGTTGCTTCTCCTCCTCCTCCTCCTCCTCCTTCTCCTCCTCCTTCTCCTTCTCCTCCTCCGCCTCCTCCTCCTCCTCCTCCTCCTCCTCCTCCATCTCCTCCTCGGTCCCTGACACAAACCGCGCGCGCGCGCCTTGCCCTCTCTGGCCCCGAGGTTCGGCTTCGTCGAGATCACGCCGCGGGCAGTCGCTCAGTCCCTCGCGTCGGGCAGCAAGGCGTTGGGTCTGGACGCCGCGCTGCTCGCCCTGGTCACCGCAGGGGAACTAATGGCACGGACGTAAACTTTCCGCCGTTGCATGATGTCTGGCGCTGAACCAGACTTCTGGGTCGGTGTCGAAGATCGCCGCGCGGCGATCGCAGCGACCACGAATCGGGGCAAGGTCCATGTCAAGGAGCGGCATGCCCTTTCCCGGCTCTGCGATGTAGGCGCGGCACAAACATGAACTGTCGGAGGCCCCCACCCTGATTCTGGATCCGCCGTACTTCGGGCGATCTCGCAGTTCGGCGGAGATCTCCGCCCTACTTTTCAGGCCCTTCTGACGCCGAGTTCTGACCTGCCTTGCCGTCGCTGTTTCCACCGTGACTTTGCGGAAATTGCCGCCCTGTTCTTCTGAGGCGGACGTTCCCGCGCTTCTCTGTCGCATCGTCTAGGCTGCACGTGGGATCCTGCGGGTGCAGTTGCGGATGCTGTTCGCCGTTTTCTCGGCCTTCGGGGGGGCCCTCGCAGGGCCCCGGGGCCCGGCCCTGGGGAACGGAGCAGGGCTTCCGAGGACCCCGATGAAATAAGATCAAGGCATCGGACCTCTGGGCCCGCCCGCGCGGATGCCTTGGGATCGGCGCTGAGCACCCCTCCCTGGCGCGCGCCGCGGACCTTCGAAAACTCATGGTTACATGCCGATGCTGTTTTTTCTGGTTCCTTTTTTTTGAGTATTGCCCTCACTGGTATTACTTATTACTCTTATTCGTCTTTTCCCAGGTCAACCTGCTCCAGACGCTGGGGCTCGAGGGCGTCGCCGGCGACGACCAGGGACACAAAAGTATAAAAAAAGCACCGCGGATGCTGATGCTCCCTTCCCCTGAGGCGACGAAGACGCGGATTGAGATCGGAGGAGGAAAAGGTGACCATTCCGCCTCCCTTTGCCTCGTCTTCTCCTTTGTTCGGCCTCCCGGGAGGCCCTCGTCGCCACCGCTGACTTTCGCCTGGAAATGATGGTCAGGACGCACGCCGGGAGAGGTCTGGGGAGAGGTCCTTTTTAGGTTTCCCCACACGACGCGTGGATTTGCGGCGGGCTCCGATGCCGCACCGGGTCGGCGCGCCGCGTCGACTCGAGCTCGACGGGGTGTGTTCCACGATCCGTGGACCTGGCGCCCGCGCGCCAGATCCACGGATCCCTGTTACGCCAGCGGACAATTAACAACCACACCTATACGCCCCTTCGGATTCCTGAGGTGGGACCCTGGGGAGGCGCTATGCGTTTTTTCTGTCGGATGGGGGCCCCCGCTCGAACGGGAGCCCCCTCGGGATCCCACAACCCGCGCCCACGCCTGCATCGCTTTCATCGCCTTGCCCTTCCCCATTCCCATTCCTCCTCCCCATAGGTTTAAGTGTGTGTGTGTGGTGTGTGGTGTGTGGTGTGTGGTGAGTGGTGTGTGGTGTGTGGTGTGTGGTGCGAGGTGCGTGGTGCGTGGTGCGAGATTGGTGTGTGGTTGGTGTGCGTGTTTGTGTGTGTGTTTGTGTGTGAGTGAGTGTGTATTGGTGTGTGTATTGGTGTGTCTGTGTGTCCGTCTGTCCGTCTGTCCGTCTGTCTGTCCGTCTGTCCGTCCGTCTGTCTGTCTGTCTGTCTGTCTGTCTGTCTGTCTGTCTGTCTGTCTGTCTGTCTGTCTGTCTGTCTTTGTCTGTCCGTCCGTCCCTCCGTCCGTCCGTCCGTCCGTCCGTCCGTCCGTCCGCCCGTCTGCCTGCCTGTCTGTGCGCGTGCGCGTGTGTGTTGCTCTTTGGCCCATGCCAGCGTGCGCCCGGCCCCCGCCGTCGCCCCTTCGGGGGCCCCCCGGAGGGGGGCCCTCGCCCCTCGCCGCCGCGGCGGGGCCCGCCGCGCGTCGGAGCGCAGCCCCCGCGCGTGAGGCCCGTCGGAGCAGCCGCGGCGAGCGATCTCCCCGAGCCCCCCCCCCCCCGGGGGGGAGGAGACAGCACGAGGGCGCCCCCCCCCCCCCCCCCTTTCCTCCGCCAGCTCCTCCTCTCCGCCCTTCTCCCTCCGTCCTCGACCTTCCTCTTCCGGGGCCTGCTCCTGGGCGGCGTCGTCGTCCTCGGGCTCCTCTCTCCGTCGCCCTCTCCGGAGCCTGCCCGGAGGGCAGGGAGAGCTGCGGTTGTGAGTCGCCCTCCCCGTCCTCGTGCCCTCTTGACCGTCACCCTACACTGCGGACAGGAGCCGTGGCTCAGCGTGTCGCTCCGCCGGGTCTGGCCCACCACGCCTTGGCGCGACGCGCTCACCACGTCGTCGCAGCCCCTAGGCGTCACAGCCCAGAGCCTCTCCCGGCCGCCCGCCCCGCGGAGCGGAGCGACGCGCTGCCGTGCTGCAGGGGCAGAGCGTGTCGCGGGGGCCGCCGCCGCGGCGCGCCAGGCAGAAGTTCACCACCCACCATTCGGGTTGGGTCTTCGGGTTGGGTTGGGGTGGTCTGGTAGGTAGTCAGAAGTGCCCGACTTTCTCGGTATCGCTGTGCTCTTTCCGTTTTCCGGAAGCGCCACCCCACATCACAGCACAGTGGGGGGGGCGGTCGTTCAGGGATGTGCCGAGGATGCTTCAGACCCTGGAGGATATGTCATCTGATCATGGCGGTGGCGATACCCATGGCCTCTCCACCAATGGAGTTCCACCGGCATCCAGACCCCGGGCTCCTCATCCAATGGTTCCCTCTCCAATACCCTCACGTGCGGGAGCTAATTCGCTAGCTCCCCTCTCCCTCTGCTGCCCGGGAGGCTTCAGACCCTGGAGGATCCCTTATCTGATGAGGGCGGCGGTGATATTCATGGTCAAGCCTCGATTGGCCTTTCACCGGCTTCCAGACCCTGGACTCTTTATCCAATGGTTCCTTATCCAATACCCTCACCGTGCGTGAGCTGATTCGCTAGCTCCCCTCTGCAAACCCACCCTCTTTCGTCCGATCCGATTGTGGCTGCCCGCCGGGGCCCATGCTCCTCCAGGGCCCAGGGCCGTATGCCGACGCTCCTTACGGTCGGACCGAGGTTCAAGATCGAGGTCGGTTCGTGGAAGGTACCCTAGTGCTCTTCGTGCTTGTTGGATGTCCGTGTGCATCCTGGGAAGGGTGCCCTTGGATGTTCTGTTTGTGCCGGTCGGCGGAGGTTCCCATGTTCTTGAGGGCCGCTCCTGCCCTGCGTATAGCGGAAGGTACACCCAGCCTTCTGCGAAATGTCCGAAGCCTTCCCCGAAGACACGGGCACTTCCTCAGAAGGCCCGAGGGCCTCCGAGAAGCCCCGCCGCCTTTCGAGAGGGCCTGCTCCCTCGCACTTCCCCCCCTCGCCCGCCGCCGACTCCACGCCCCTGCCGCAGAGGGCCGCCATTGCCCCGCGCGCGGCGGAAGGTACACCCTCGAGCAGGCCGGGCCTCCGGGCGGCCTGGCGGGGCGCCAGCGCCCCGGGCGGCCCCAGCCTCGCGAGGCTGCGGCCGCGCCCGCGCTTCGGGCCCGCTCTCGGCCCAGAGATCCAACGTTTTGCAATAACAAAAAAACAGGGCAGGCTCTCCGCGATTTCCGGCCTCTGGGGGCCCTCGCCGGGCCCCAGGACCGTCAAAAAGCGATTCGGGATGAGAGACCGGTCCTGGGGAATGGGTCGAGGCTTTCTTAGACTTCCGGGGGCCCCGTACGACAAAAAAAGTTACGACATGTCGGATCTCTGGGAGGGGGCTCTCCAGCGGAGCCGCGGCCGAGCGTGGAGCGGCAGCTGCGGGTGGCCTGCCGGCGGAGGGTCGGCCCCCCTCACCGTGTGGCCAGTCTCCCTCTCCCTCTCCCTCCCTCTCCCTCTCCCTCCCTCTCCCTCTCCCTCCCTCTCCCTATCCTTCCCTCTCCCTCTCCCTTCCTCTCCCTCTCCCCCCCCCCCCACCGTATAGCCACGGTCTCCTTTTCCCCAGGCGACGGGATCCCGGTCCGGAGCGAGTGGGTCGGCGACGTCCAGCCGCGAACGGGAGGCAGCGGATCCAGCGGCGACCAGGGCGCCGCCGGGGAGGGTACCAGGTCGGTGATCGACTACGTGGTGACGGGACAGATGGAGAAGATCACGGGGTCCTTTTCCTCATCCTCCGCCTCATCCTCATCCTCCGCCTCATCCTCTTCTTCTTTTTCTTATTATTATTATTAGTAGTATTATTATTATCCGTACTCTTAAGAGTACTATTATGTTTATTGCCATTCTTATTCATCTTGCTCCTCCTTCCCCCTCCCCCTCCCCCTCCCCTCCACAATTACTCAATATGAATACTACTCTCCCTCTTCCCCTGATGGCGTGCTGGGAGTAGTAGACCCCCCCCACGTATTGTTTTTTACACACAGGATTCCCGGTAGTTGGGTTTTCGACTGCGTTTTTTTTCAAAATGCTGGTCTCGTTGAGGCGCCGGCCTCATTTCTGCTCCCGAATCGTTCCGAATCGTGCTCCCGCTGCAGCGTGGGCCTCATTTTCGGATCGGTGTTTTGCCTCCGTCGTTCAGGATGGCGTTCTCGCCCCAGCGCGGGCCTCTTCCTCGCGCGCCATCCGCCCGCCACCACCGCGCCGCACCACGCCCCGCCCCGCCGCACGCACACCCACCGCCACTTCCACCCACCAACGCACGCACGCACGCACGCGCACCACCACCGCGCACCGCCACCACCACCGCACCACCCCACCCACCACCACCACGCTACACCGCGTCACACCACATCACAAGCGCGCACACACAGACACACACGCACGCACGCACGCACGCACGCACGCACGCACACACACACACACACACACACATATACACACGCACACACACGCACACACACAGACACACACACACACACACACACACACCACCACCGCCACCACCACCACCACCACCGCCATCACGCACGTACGCACCTGGCCCACCACCAAACCACCAAGACGCCACACCACGTCACACCACAGCACACGCGCACACACGCACACACACACATACACATACACACCACCACCACAACAACCACAACCACGCACACACGCACGCACGCACGCGCACCACCACCCACTACGCACACGCGCGCGGAGCCACAGGTCCGCTACGACACGCGTCCGCGGATAGAGAAAATCAGCGCCATGGTAAGGGATGGGAGGGAGGGGTAGGATGTCAGATGTAGACGCGAGCGCACCTAACTTGTCCTCCTCCCCCTCCCCCTCCTCCGCCTCCTCCTCCTCCTCCTCCTCCTCGTCCTCCTCCAAGAGGGCCCCAAGAGAGGCCCAAGGCGGCTCCGAGAGGCCACCGAGACGGCCCCCGAGACAGCCTCCGAAGGGGCCAGACAGCACAAGAGCGCCCCCAAACGGCCCCAGACTTGCGATGTCCCAACCTACCTTAGCCTTGATCACCAGAACGAATTTCGAGCACCCAGAAAATACCGAAACTTGAGGGTTTTTACGTGTCGGGCCCTTGGAGAAGACACTCGTTCGACATTGTTTCGACATTTGTCTGGGTGGTCGAAATTGTTTCTGGGATGTGGCCCTTAAGTACGATGGGAGTAACATAACCCTAGACGCCCCCATGAGGCCCCAAGAGGCCCCGAGGTGGTTTCCAAAAGGCCCTCAAGAATCTCCCAGGAATCTCCACAGCGACTTGACTGCGCGTGCTCCCGGCGTGCACCCCGCGAAGCGAGAGGATCACGGGGTCCAGGGCGTTACAATCAAGCAGGATTGTAAAGATATGTAGCTTTCAAAGCACCTAGCAACTATCGCCGGTCACTTTCGCTCAGGAAGATTCGACTTGGGCGTCCGAGATCCTTGCATCCTTACCAGGCGTCCCTAGGATTCTGTCGCGCTGAAGGAGGTGAAAGGAGGGAGGAAGGAGGGGTACAGGGTACAGTATGCACATGAAATGTGAAACCGTCCTGCCTGCAGGTGCTCCACGGTGCACCTTAACGAATCCGAATACCGATGGATCATTCGCCCTTGAGTATTTTGTGGTAAGATGTGTCATCGTACGTATCTCCTACAGGACGAGGAGACGGGAGGAGGGAAAGGGAGGGTGAGGTTGCCCATGCCCGTGTTCCTCGAGCAGCACGGAGGCGGCAGTGGCTTGTACAAGATTGTCGTAGGCCCGCGGTCCGTGGTCGTCACCTGCGACCCAGTCGTCATCAAGCACATACTGGCGGGGCCACCGGAAAAGTACACGAGGGGGATCCTGAGCGAGGTGTTCGAGCCCATCGTGGGCAGCGGGCTCATCCCCGCCGGCACAGATGCGTCAAGGGTCCGTCGCCGAGCCATCGTGCCCGGGTTCCAGCAGCGCTGGCTCGAGAGCGTGACCGAGACCATGGCCAGGTGCACCGATGCGCTCTGCGAAGACCTGGACCGGCAGATCTCCCAGGCGCACGCGGCGGGGGAGGCGGGGGCGCTGGTCAACATGGAGGAGAAGTTCACCTCCGTATCCTTCGACGTGATCGGGAAGGCTGTCTTCGAATACGATTTTGGGGCCATCAGCGGGGAGTCACCGATCCTTCAGGCCGCCTCGTCGGTGCTCCGCGAGTCCAAGAGGCGGGCGCAGTCGGTGTTTCCATACTGGAACTTGCCGGGCGCCGCTGCTCTGTTCAAGGACCAGAAGAGCCACAAGGAGAATCTGACCTTGCTGAACGCCATGCTGGACGAGCTGGTCAGGAGTGCCACGGAGGAGGCTGGCAAGGGCACGGACGCGGCGAAGGGGGACATGTCCATGATGCAGTTCTTGGTCCAGACTCGCAGCGAGGACGTCGTCACGCAGCGGCAGCTCCGCGACGACCTGATGACGCTGCTCATCGAGGGCCACGAGACCACGGCCGCCTTGCTCACCTGGACCATGAACGAGCTGATGAGGGATGAGAATTCGAGCGCCCTGGAGGCTGTGCAGAAGGAGATCGCGGACGTCCTCGGCTGCCGCCGGATCACGCACGGCGACATCGAGAAGCTGCCGTTCCTGCGGGCCTGCCTGTCGGAGGCCCTGCGCCTGTATCCGGAGCCCCCCCTCCTGATCCGAAGGTGCGTCGAGGGGGACGAGTGCCCCGTTGGGCCCCTGTGCGGGATGGGCGACGACGCCACCGTCCGCTTCCTGCCCGGACAGGACATATTCATTTCGACCTGGTCCCTGCACCGCTCCACGGACCTCTGGGGGGAGGACGCGGGCAAGTTCCATCCGTGGCGGTGGGAGCGCAAGATCGAGGGATTGGGGCGCTGGGCGGGGTACGACCCCGACAAGGCCCGGCCCTACCCGAGCGAGGCGGCGTCCGACTTCGCCTTCCTGCCGTTCGCGGGCGGCAGCTGGACTTCGGCGAAGAGAAATTGGCATGAGCACGAGCATGCGGTCAGGAACCTGTGCTGAGCGTGTCGCACCGCCGGTTTCGGCCCACCACGCACCGCTGCGACACGCCATCCACGTCCCAGTCGCCAAGCATCACCGTCTCGAACGTTTCCCAGGCTCCCGCCGCTGCGACACGGTAACCACAAGATCCCGACCGTAAACTTCCAGGGATCGGCGCTGGGACCCCCTGCCTGGCGCGTTCCACTACTCGCAACGTCGCTACTCGCAAACCTCCGGAAAAAAAAAACATGCTCGCCTCGATGTAATGGGTCGTCGGTCCTCCTCGGCGGAGCCAGGCCATTAGCGAGTGGTCGTGTTGCGAGCAGCGGAACGCGCTTGTCTAAGGGAGCGGGGCCCCGTTGCGGGTCCGATGAACCTGCGCGGACTTCCGGAAGCCAGTGCTTGTGGCAGGCTCGTGCCGCGCCAGCGCGGCGAGTGCCTCAGCGCGGGCGTTCAAGGTTCAACGCCGCCAGCGGCGCAGAATCTCGGCGGCCAGCGCGGGGGGGGGGAAGTGAGAAGAGGCGGGCCTTCTCAGAAGGCTCGGAAGTCCCCCAGCCTTCTGAGAAGTTTGCCAAGCCTGCCCCGAGGACAGAGGAAGCTCCTCAGAGGGCGCGAGGACTTCTGAGAAGTCCCGCCGCCCTCGGAGAGGGCCTTCTCCTTCTCACCTTCCCCCTCCTCGCCGCCGAGAATCGGCCAATCTGGAGCGATCCAGCGGTCGAAACACCGCCGGTCGTTCCAGCTGGAACGACCCGCGTGGTGTCAGACGCCCGCGCCGAGGTCCTCACGGCCCGAGCCTGCCGTGCGCAGTTCTCTCTGCTCTGCCAGGAGGTGCGTGGGCGACCAGTTCGCCATGGCAGCGGCGGCCGTGGTCACGGCGAGCCTGCTGCAGAGGTGCCCGCTCCGCGCAAGGGCGACCCTGCACCGGGGTGACCTCTGGTGCGGGCCCGCGGCCCCCCCCCCCGATCTCCGAGCGCGACGCGAGGGCACTGGCTTGCGCGCCTGGGCTTGGCCACCCGGGCGCCCCTGGAAGCCGCGCACCACGGGGCACTCTTGCGCCCGCGGCGGGGGCGCTGCTGAAGGACTGCTGGCCAGGAGGCTTCAGGCCCTGGAGGGTCCCTCGTCTGATGAGGGCGGCGGTGATGTCCATGGTCAAGCCTCGATTGGCCTTCCGCCGGCTTCCAGACCCTGGACTCCTCATCCAGTGGTTCCTTATCCAATACCCTCACCGTGCGTGAGCTGATTCGCTAGCTCCCCTCTGCTACCCCCCCCCCCTCTTCGGTCCGAGCCGATTGTGGCTGCCCGCCAGGGCCCATGCTCCTCCAAGGCCCAGGGCTTGGGCGCCCCGGGAGTTCGGTCACGGCGAGAGACCTCCAGGCCCTGTTCCCCTCGGGGCCCGCTTCCTGTATCGGCGGCGAGCCCGGGAGGGAAGTGAGAAGAAGAAGGCGTTCTCAGAAGGCTCGGAAGGCCCCCGGCCCTCGGCGCAGTGCTCTATGAGCCTGCCCCGAAGACGCAGAAGCCCCGCCGCCTCGTGAGAGGGCCTGCTCCCTCGCACCTCCCCCCCCCCCCGCGCGCGCCGCCGACTCCACGCCCCTGCCGCAGAGGGCCGCCATTGCGCCGATCCCGCCTGGACGCTTTTTGGCAGTAAAAGGTACCCGATCGAGCTGAGATCAAGATGGCGAGCGGGAATAAGATCGAATATCACGGGAAAAAATACTAGAGGTCTAACGAATGGTTGAATTTCGAGAACAAAATTTTCAACCGAGCAAAAGTCGTCAAAACGTCCCGCGCGCGGCGGAAGGTACACCCTCGAGCAGGCCGGGCCTCCGGGCGGCCCGGCGGGGCAGGCCGCCAGCGCCCCGGGCGGCCTCCGCCTCGCGAGGCTGCGGCCGCGCCCGGGCTTCCGGCCCGCCCCCGGGGGCCCGCCGGCGGAGCCGCGGCCGAGCGTGGAGCGGCAGCTGCGGGTGGCCTACCAGCGGAGGGTCGGCGGCACCGTGGCGCAGAGGGTCAGGCCGGAGGCCATGGTCATCCCCACGGCCAGGGAGCTCCGGGGCCTGTTCCAGGAGCAGGAGACCCCCCGCCTTTCTGCCATCGGCTGGGTGTGTAAGTCGGGGGCGGAAGAGAGGGGGGTGATGGCTATAGGGGGGGGTGGATTTCATGGCGCGGGCCATGATTATTCCTCAGATTTCACGGCGCCTCTTCTTATTCCCAACCCTCCTGCGTTGGGTACTCGTTTTGAATAGAGCACTGCGGTCTCCACCTTCCTTCCTTCCTTCCTTCCTTCCTTCCTTCCTTCCTTCCTTCCTTCCTTCCTTCCTTCCTTCCCGCCTCCTCCCGCCTCCTCCTCTCTTCTCTTTGTGGGCTGCGATCTGTGAAACTGTCGTCACTTTCGAGGGCTGCTGGGGGGCCCAGCGGAGTGACGCCCTACGGGGATTCAGATTAGACCTCGCCATCCCTGGGGGGCTGCGATCTGTGAAACTGTCGCCACTTTCGAGGCTGCTGGGGGGCCCAGCGGAGTGACGCCCTACGGGGATTCAGATTAGACCTCGCCATCCCTGGGGGGCTGCGATCTGTGAAACTGTCGCCACTTTCGAGGCTGCTGGGGGGCCCAGCGGAGTGACGCCCTACGGGGATTCAGATTAGACCTCGCCATCCCTGGGGGGCTGCGATCTGTGAAACTGTCGCCACTTTCGAGGCTGCTGGGGGGCCCAGCGGAGTGACGCCCTACGGGGATTCAGATTAGACCTCGCCATCCCTGGGGGGCTGCGATCTGTGAAACTGTCGCCACTTTCGAGGGCTGCTGGGGGGCCCAGCGGAGTGACGCCCTACGGGGATCAGATTAGACCTCGCCATCCCTGGGGGGCTGCGATCTGTGAAACTGTCGCCACTTTCGAGGGCTGCTGGGGGGCCCAGCGGAGTGACGCCCTACGGGGATTCAGATTAGACCTCGCCATCCCTGGGGGGCTGCGATCTGTGAAACTGTCGCCACTTTCGAGGGCTGCTGGGGGGCCCAGCGGAGTGACGCCCTACGGGGATTCAGATTAGACCTCGCCATCCCTGGGGGGCTGCGATCTGTGAAACTGTCGCCACTTTCGAAGGCTGCGTGGGGGGCCCAGCGGAGTGACGCCCTACGGGGATACATATTAGACCTCGCCATCCCTGGGGGGCTGCGATCTGTGAAACTGTCGCCACTTTCGAAGGCTGCTGGGGGGCCAGCGGAGTGACGTCCTACGGGGACTCAGATTAGACCTCGCCAGCGCTGGGGGGCTACGATCTGTGAAACTGTCGCCACTTTCGAGGGCTGCTGTGGGGCCCATGAAACTGTCGCCACTTTCGAGACCTGCTGCGGGGTCCAGCATAGTGACGTCCTACGCGGACGCAGATTGGACCCGTCATTCTACTTCGATTATCCCGCATCTGCGATCGACTGTATGTGTGCGAGGAACTAGACATGGAGTGGTCTGGCACTGACTGACGTCAAATCGTTGTGTGCCAGTGTCTCCTGGGGTGTTGCCTGATGTGGATGCAGCTCGTCGGCGCTGCGACTCGAGCTGGCGGTCGTCCTTCGGACCCGCAGAAACATCTGCTGAGCTCGATGAGCTAGGGGAACTACAGGAAAGAAGTGCAGGAAACGGAGGCCGGTCATGCACTCGCCGATACCTCGTTGCTCTGTCATCGTCTTTGCTGTTGCATGATCCTTATCTGGCCTGCCGGCGCCGCGGCTCGAGCTGGCGGTCGCCCTTCGGGCCCGCGGGAACATCTTCTGAGACAAGTGGACGCCGCCGCCTTACTTGCAGGCAGCGCATTGCATTCGCGGACAGCAGCATGGCAGACCGCAGTGAGATCCTCAGTCGCGTGGTGTTGCCAAGCCTGGTGGAGACGCGCGTGATCGACCTGAAGTCCCAATCGCGCGTGCACTGTACCTGCGTGGCGTTCAGGCACGCGCGTGATGCTGCTCGCTCCGCGTTCAACCAGTACGTCGCCAGTGCAACTTTGGACGATGGACAACCGATTGATGATACGCGACCCCGGCCTTGAGTTTCTTTCCCGCGGGCCGCCCGCAGACCTGGCGGCGCGCCTGCGAGCGTTCAGCTCCCGCGCTGAAATGTGCGGGAAGGAGGCGGAGAAGCTAGCGGGCGAGCTACGCCTCGTTCGTTCCTTGCACTCTAAACAAGTTTTATCATGTGGAACTCTGCGACGACATGGCGCAGGCAGCGCTGCGGGTTTAGCTCGCACTTGAAAAACGCGGCAGTCTTCTGTCTCCTCCCGCCACTTTCATCGTCGTCCTATTCCCCGCCTCACCTTCTCCATGCATGCTGCTGCTTCCGCGATGGCCTTTCGCCCCCCCCGCCCTCCATTCCATCCCTCTCCTACCCCTCGTTCCCGTGCCCGTTCTTATTCGATCCTGGGGCCTCAAGCCTCGTTCTTTCGATCGTCGCCCTGTGAATCGTGCAGCGCATGCGCGTCCCATGTAGCTTGCGCAGCAAATCGCCGCGTCTACACTGTCGTTGTTCCTGCTAATGTTGGCATATTCCTCTTACCATTTGATGCACGTGGGTTGGGTACGTCGCAGGGTAATTTTCTTGCGTCCCAGGCCCCCCCGCTGGGCCGCGCACGTGCCGCCGGTCATGATTTGCACCCCCCCCTCTTGGACAGCCCCCTCTTGGCCGCTCCAGAGTTAAAGAGGGAGTGACCTTTCGCTGGAGTGGCCTGTGGTGCGGGCACAGACGGTTCCCCAGACGGCTGAATGCGAAGCGGCACAGCGGTTTGCGAGCCCAGGTTCGGCCCCCCAGCGTCCCCCGGCAAGCCGCGCACCAAAGGTTTTGCTTGCCTACGCAGGGTTTCTCTTGTGCGTAGCCGATCTTACCATGCCTGCGGGTGTGATCTCGCACTGCGCTATTTCGTCGGCCCCTGGCCCCGGGACCTCGCCCCCTGACATCCTCCTGACCTGGCCTCCCACATGGCCTCCCTCTTGGCCCCCATGCTCTGGCCTCGGGATCCCGTCCCGCCAGCCCTGGCCTCCCTGGCCGCCCCCTCCCAGGGGCTTTCGTTCGTATCGTGTCATTCGTCGTGGCTCCCAGGCCTCGCCCCAGCGGCCTCCTCCCGCCCTGGCCTCCATGCCCTGGCCTCCATGCCCTGGCCTCGGACCCCGGGCCACCGGCCCTGCCCTGCTCGTGTCGCTCATCGTCCCTGGCCCCCCAGCCCTGGCCTTAACTCGGGCCTGTCCCTCTACAGGAGGAAACTTGCAACATAGTTACAGAAACCCGTATGGGGAAGATTTTTCTACTATTTCTGACTATTCGGGAGGATGTGTTTGATTATTTGTCATGTATTTTTCGTCCAAAATCGGCGTGTAGGGGGGCATGCCCGACCTAACCCTGGCCTCCTCCCTGGCGGCCCCGACCTCCCCATCCCCCCCGTGACGGACGTTACGGGGGGGGGAGTAGAAAAACAATCTCCAGGCGCAGGCGCGCATGGACGTCCCCACCAACCAGGACGAAATCGACGCCGCGTACCTGGAGTGCCAGGAGGTGACCCGCGAGTACTCGAAGACCTTCTACCTGGGCTCGCAGCTGCTGGGCGACGCGGAGCAGCGGGCAGTGTGGGCAATCTACAACTGGTGCCGTTGCACCGATGAGCTGGTCGATGGACCAGCAGCGGCCACGACGACCATGGAGGATTTGGAGGCGTGGGAGCGGACACTCCAACAGATCTTCGACCTCAAAGAGACGGGGAACAGCATGGACCTGGCAATGATCGATTCCGTCCGCAACTTTCGGCTGATCCCGCGCCCGTTTCAGGACATGGTCGGCGGGATGGCCCTGGACCTCGTGAAGGAGAGGTACGAGACCTTCGCCGAGCTCGAGGTCTACTGCTACCGCGTGGCCGGGACGGTCGGCCTCATGTGCTTGCCCATCCTCGGCTTCGACCCCGGCCAGAACTACTCGGACGACTTGAAGGACGCCACCGTAGACGCCGCCCTGTGCCTGGGGCTCGCACTGCAGCTCACCAACATCCTGAGGGACGTCGGGGAGGACGCCCGCAGGGGTCGCATATATGTGCCCCTGGAGGACCTGAGGATGTTTGGGATCGACGAGGAGGACATCTTCCAGGCCAGCGAGGGCAGGCTGGCACTCTGGCAGGACGAGCGGTGGAAGCAGTTCATGGAGTTCCAGATGGCGAGGTGCAATGGGTACTACGAGAAGGCAAAGGGCGGCATCATCGGCCTCACCGAGAGTAACCGTCTGGGGGTGATGGCAGCGCTCAACGTCTATGGCGGCATCCTGGATAAGATCCGCCGAAATCGCTACGACAACTTCACCCAGCGTGCGTACGTGTCGCTGTCGGAGAAGTTTGGGCTCATGGCCAAGTCTTGGTTCGCGTGCCTCGAAATTCAGAGACAGGCTGACGAAAACGTCCGCCTCGGTAATATTTTCCAGGAGGTCAAAATGGCACGCTCCAAGTTTGCCAGATGACCACCCTCAGCAGGCAGCCTTTTGCAAGGCATCCGCATGCTGTGGAATTGTCTTCACACCGTGTAACCTGAGGATTGCTTGACAAGAAGTGCGGGCTTCCCGATGCGGGAGCGTAAGTTGCATCGCAGCATCGCTCGAACGTGTGCATGTTTTCTCGGCGAGGACCATCGAAGAGCATCTGGGATCACCTGGCGAAGCAATACACGCGCGAAATCGAGCAAATGCACGGGGAATGGACGTCCGAGCGATGGCGAGTTCAATGACTGCAGTTTCTCTGATCTGAACGGCTTCGCCCTCTGCCGCGGACTCCTCTTTTTGACTGGCTAGACGGCTGCTCGGTTAACTTGCTGGTTAGTTGGTCGACTGCCTCATCGGTTACGTAGCAGGGTTGCTGACTGACTGTCTGGCTGATTTGCAGCTTGGTCGTCTTTGTTGGCTGGTGGTTGGGTGTCTGGCTGGTTTGTTGGCTGGTCGGTTGGTTGGATGGTTGACCGTACGCAGGGGGGGAGAGATCCAGGGGAAGATGTAGGGCCAGAGGGGAGAGGGCTACAAGGCGGGGTCCATGTGGGGAAGGTGCCAGGGGAGGGAGGCATGTGCCTGTTGTTCTGGGTTGTGACGGTCGCGTGTCGTTCCGCTACAGTGGGTGGCCGTATCCTACTACGACTCACTCAGCACATTTTTGGGGCAACGACCTGTTCGACTTAGCGCTTGCTCTTTAATTCCCAAGTTGCGACCGTGTGGCCAATTGGCTGGTATGTATGTGTATATTTGTATGTGTATATATATATATATATATATATATATATATATATATATATATATATTATATATATATATATATATATATATATATATATATATATATGGTCAGCCCCCCCCCCCCCAGCACCCCGTGTGCACCCATCGCTCTCTTTCCGTTGCTCCTCCTCCTCCTCCTCCTCCTCCTCCTCCTCCTCCTCCTCCTCCTCCTCCTCATCCTACTCCTTTCCTCCTCCAAATATGAAAACGAAGAGGAAGAGGATGAGGAGGAGGAGGAGGAGGACGAGGAGGTTGAGGATTAGGATGAGGAGGAAGCAATGTTATTCAAAGTTTTTTTTGGTTTTTTTGGTCAGGGAAGCCACGAAACCTTGCTATTCATATGTTTTTTGGGTTTTTTTGGTTTTCAGAAGCTCCACAAACTAGGCCAGGAGGTCTTATGGACGGCTGAAAACCAAAAAAACCTGTGAATAGCAGCGTTTGGTGGCCACGATCCCACCAAACGCTGCTATTCACATGTTTTTTTTTTTTTTTTTCGGTCTAGGAAGCCACCAAACGCTGCTATTCACATGTTTGTTTTGGTTTTTTTGGTTTTCAGAGGCTCCGCAAGCCCCCGCGGTCCCCTTCTGGCCAAGCTTGTGGAGCTTCTGAAAACCAAAAAAAAAAAAAAACATGTGAATAGCAAGGTTTCGTGGCTTCCCTGACCAAAAAACCAAAAAAACATGTGAATAGCATGGTTTGGTGGGCAGTGGTGCTTTGCAATAGAATTTCTTTGTGCGGCTTTCCAATAGAATCCCTTTGTGGCGCTTTCCAAAGGATTCCTTTTGTGAGGCTTTCCAATAGAATTCCCTTGTGATGCTTTCCGAAGGATTCCTTTTGTGAGGCTTTCCAATAGAATCCCTTTGTGATGCTTTCCAAAGGATTCCTTTTGTGAGGCTTTCCAATAGAATTCCTTCTCCTCCTCCTCCTCCTCCTCCTTCTCCTCCTCCTCCTCCTCCTCCTCCTTCTCCTCCTCCTCTCACTCCTCCTCCGTCTGTTCTTCCTCTTCCTGCGCGCAAGTGCGCGCTGGCGAAGCGCGCGATAGCGCCCGCGCGCAGCTGAAGATGATGATGTTCAGCTCACTTCACTACGATCGCAAACAATATGCGGATCCGCGCACATTTCGCCTGGGCATTGCCATATCATTCGCCCGACATATCGCAACGCGGGTGGCATCTATATGAAGAGGGGCAATGTGAACACACCTCTGGTCTCAAGAACTAACTCGGCCCAAGCGAAATAGACAACAAGCGCAAACGCGCGCCGTACGCCTGGCCACTCTCACTCCGAACGCCAAGCCTGTCGCCACTAGATCACTCCGCCTGGCCACCTGGCTGCTCCTGCGCGCCGATCTCCAAGCGGGCTCGGCTGCGTCAGCGAGAGAGCTCACTGAGCGTGGTCCTTGGCCCACGCGTCGCGGAGCATCTGGCCAGTAGCGAGCCAGAGATCGCTGCCGCGGTTCCAGTACGTCCACTGGAAGGAGCGCACCTTGCATAGGCCAGAGAGCGAGCAGCAACTGCGCATGTCGCGCTGGGCCGCCTCTCCAAACCTCAGCGCATGCCACCCGCCAACCTTTCCCGCGCCGGGCAACACCTCCCACCCCCCTGGGCGGCGTTCAGCTGCACTGAAGATTGAGGAGACAGCGCCTACGCAAACAAACGCGTTGCACGTCGTTCATCTGGCCTGCCTTGTTGCGGAGAAGGACAGACCCCACCGTCTTCGCAATGCCCTTGCCGACCGCCTTGCGCAGGTCGCCCCACGCGCGGTCGATCACCTGGGTGCCGCACTTCACCCACAAGCGCTTCGTCCCAGTGGTGTGTGTGTGTGTGTTTAATGATGTGGTTGCGCTATTGCGCGTTGCTAATGGATTACGGTTGTCGTCCGTTGGTGACGTGGTGTATTGGGCGGTACAACGTCGTTGTTCGCCTGTTACGTTGCTGTGGCTATGCGCCTAAGGGCCAAGGAAGTGTTTTAAGTCCACCCCGACACCTGGGCCACGAAGACATCGCGACGCACGTTGAAAAGGTCCTTGCGCTGGCGCTTGACCTGTTGAGCGAGGGCGGCCTTCTCGCCCCGCAAAGCTGCGCACGTCTTGTGATACTTCCGCAGGTGTCTCTGCGCAGCCTCCCTCAGGTACTGCTTGACCCACGGCTTGGCGATCCAGTTCTTCAAGGACTTGGCGCGCTTGCGATCACGACACCTGTCGGTTTTAGTCTTCACGGCCTTCGCTGATGCAGCTGGCATGGCGTGCTGTGGCGGCAGCGCTGGGGAGAGAAGTAGCAAACAAAAAACAACCACTCGATTCATAACAAACTACGGATGGTTGCACCCAGTTAGGCTGAGGCGGAGGAGGGAGAGGAATATGAGGATGAGGAGGCGGACAAGGAAACTGAGGAGGGAGGAGGGTGAGGGGTAGGAGGAGGATGAGAAAGAAGAGGATGAAGAGGAGTAGGAGGAGGAGGACGAGCAGGATGATGAGGATGATGAGGGTGAGAATGAAGAGGGTAAATAAGAAGATGAGGATGAGGAGGATGAGGAAGAGGAGGAGGAGGAGGATGAAGAATATGATGCGGCTGATGAGGAAGATGAGGAATATGAGGGCGCGGAGGAAGAAGAGGATGATGAGGATAATAATGATGATGAGGATGATGACAATGATGATGACGATGAGGAAGAATAGGATGATGATGATCAGGAGGCGGACAAGTAAAAGGAGGAGGGCGGATGATGAGGGGTAGGAGTAAGAGAAGGAAGATGATGATGATGATGATGATGATGATGATGATGTGCAGGACCAGGAAAAAGAGAGTGAGAAGGATGGGTTGGAGGAGCAGGAGGAGGAGGAGGAGGAGGAGGAGCAATGAGCAATGAGCAATGCGCGGAGAGTCCAAATACGTTACTCAAGCCTCACATCATAGAAGTGGCAGCGCACTCTGCGCGACCCAACTTCGAGGGCAGCGGACTCTGCGCGACCCCCCTGGCAGGACCAGCACTGCTCCCGAACGACGGCGAATCTCGAGCACCGCGCAGGCGCGTAAGAGGATGCGGGAGGAGGACGAGGAGGATGATCATCGGAATTATCGCGGGACGGGGTGCTGGGGGGGGGGCTGAGCATATATATATATATATATATATATATATATATATACATATATTGTGAAGGCCTGCCGGCTGGTGCCGCCGACCCTGAAAGACATCGATGACTACCAGGAGGGGGAGGAGGAGGAGAAGGAGGAGGAGGAGGAGAAGGAGATGAATGAGGAGGAGGAGGAGGAGGAGGAGGAGGAGGAAGAGGAGGAAAAGGACTCCCCCCTGGGACCCCCCCCCTGGGGTGGAGGACCGGAGGAGGACCTGCGTGGGAGAGGGGAGGGGAGGGGGAGGAGGACCCCCAGGGACGGATGCGTATCTGACTCCCCTCCCCCACCTGGGACTCCCCCCCACCTGGGGAGGAGGACTCGAGGAGGACCAGCGCGCGGGAGAAAGACCGGCGTGGGAGAGGAGGACCCGCAGAGGCGATGCGAATTCGACCCCCCCCTTCCCCCCCCCGGGGACCTCCCCCGCCGGGGAAGGGACAAAGGGAAGGGGCTTTCCTTTGACGTAACGAGGACGTGAATGGAATTCTCTCAAGCTTCGAACGCGTTCCCCGAACGAGGAAGGGTGCTCTCTCTCTCTCTCTCTCTCTCTCTCTCTCTCTCTCTCTCCCCCGACGGGAGAGGAAGATGGGAAGGAGGGGGCGAAAGAAGGCCCCCCGTCGACGGGACTGGACAGACACCCCACACACGCCGACTGGGTCGGTGGATATTTATATAGATAATATGTATGTACGTATGTATGTATGTATGCACGTACGTACGTACGTATGTATGTATGTGTGTATGTATGTATGTACGTACGTGCGTATGTATGCCTGTCTGTCTGTCTGTCTGCTTGTCTGTCTGTTTGTCTGTCTGTCTGTCTGTCTGTCTGTGTATGTATGTATGTATGCATGTATGTATGTATGCATGCATGCATGCATGTATGTATGTATGTATGTTTATGTGTATGTATGCATGTATGTGTGTATACACATATATATATACATACATATATGAAACTATGTCATATCTCTCACATATGTCTATACATTATATATACACATATATGTAGATAAATATACACATATATTCGCACACCGGGAAACTCACAGGGTTGGGCCCCGCCCCCCCACCCCAATAGAATTCTTTACGCTTCGCGTATCCCCACCAGCCCATCTCACAGCAACAACTCTTGCGAAGCATGCCGACAGTCGTGTTTTTCAGGCGTGTGTCCGCTTGGCCCCGCATATCTCCCCTGTTCCTCCTTCCTCCCGCCTCCTTGTACATCCTCCTTGTGGGGGGGGCGGGAGAAGGACGAGGCGGAGGAGGAGGGAGAGAAAGCGCTCCTCGTGATTTGAGTCGTTTGGGGTTTCTCGTCCTGGTGTGAGTCGTTCGGGCC